AGCCAGCCCGCTGTTGTGAATGTCGTCGTTTCGAAAGTTTTAATTGGGATGGATGAACGTTGCCCTCTTTCTTTGAGAAGATTGCCCATTGATAACTTGTACCAAGTACGTTACGTGCCTCTCTACTCTGGGAAGTTAAAATGTCCTAATAAGTCTCGGTAATTGACGAGTCCTGGCTTTTTGCGGACACAGAAGCAGGACTTTCTCACCTATGTGTATGTTATTTTTTGTTTTTTGTTTTTTTGTTTTGCATTATGCAAGTTCCCTAAATAATTTCTACTAGAATCTTCTTTTTCTCTTAATTAGGGTAGGAGTAGACAGAAAAAAGTTATATTTGGAAAATTACAGGTTTGGCAAAAGGCACTTAATAGTATTGACTGTTCTGAATTTAGTTATGGTAATGAAAAATGATATGTAAAACAAGAACTAAGGACACCGGAAGCCACTTTTGCAGGGGGCAAGACTGGGTTTGGCTTCAGCTGTGCAACTTGGAGCGTTTTAGCTTGATAACACTGATCCCTTCTTAGGTGAGTATTAAGCCTGCAGTTTGGATTGAGTGAATACTAATACTAATATGGCCGCTGGTAAGGCAGATCTGAAAGTTTATCTGGAAAGAAATCCTTCAGAAAATGCTGTAAAGTCATGCGATCCAGATTTTTTTTTTTTTTTTGACAAGTTAGAAAAAAAGCATGCAGTTGACAAATACTTGTAACCCTGGCACTCAAGAGGTTGCAGGAGAACCTCGATGGGTTAAGGCTATTGTGGGATACATAGGCCAAGCTAAAAGAAAAGACATTCAGTGGAAATTTGAGTAATAAGGACTGAGGTATGCTTGATTAAAGTGCTTTTGGATACTGGATTCTCCTGGGCAGTGTGCCATTTAGGGAATGAGAATCGTGGTGAGAGGGTGGCTGTTTAAATGCTGCTGAGACATGAGTTGGTAGCATCTTGGTCGCTCTTGGCTTTACAAATTTTTTACTGGTGACGTGAAAATACTCTTTTTTGTTTTTTTGAGACAGGGTCTTGGTGTGTAATTCAGGCTGGCTGTTTACTGTGTAGCCCAGGCTGGCCTCAAATGCATCATTCCTGCCTCAGCCTCCTGAGTGCTGAGATCACAGTCATATGCCACCAAGCCCAGTGAAAATACTCTCATTTGTATCACCCAGAGGTGGTTTTAGGTTTTAAATTCTGTATTAACGGTTGTTTTCTTTCCAGACTGCAAAATTCAAAATGGGGCTCAAGGTATTCGTTTCATCTACACCAGAGAAGGCAGACCAAGTGGCGAGGCTTTTGTTGAACTTGAATCAGAAGATGAAGTCAAATTGGCCCTGAAAAAAGACAGAGAAACTATGGGACACAGATATGTTGAAGGTTTGATTTATGTTGCCCTAGTAACACTAAATAAAATGTTAAACATAGAGATCTTATCCCCTTCTGAATTTTAGGTATTTGACCGCATGGAAATGGTCATCTAAGGGAGTTTATGGCAGCTCTTCCTAGCTTATCTAAAGACCCAGGAAATCTGAACTGTGTTCTCTAACCTTCCAAAATTGACTAATTCTAAGCACCTCTTTCAGTATTCAAGTCAAACAACGTTGAAATGGATTGGGTGTTGAAGCATACTGGTCCAAATAGTCCTGACACGGCCAATGATGGCTTTGTACGTCTTAGAGGACTCCCCTTTGGATGTAGCAAGGAAGAAATTGTTCAGTTCTTCTCAGGTATGTGGTCTTGTTGCTGAGCTGTGAGTTCTGGCTAGCTTCTGGCAACATGATTGAATAGGTGTTAAAGTTGAGTAGTCTAGGTACTAAATAAATAGGTTGTGAATATATGCCAATGAATTTGTTTTCTTCCTGGAGACCTTCAAATAACTTAAGCCCATCTTAAAGGTGGAAATTAGAAGTACTTCCAAAATGTTAACTTTGCTTGTATTTACTTGGTAGCTTAGTTCAGAGTATATCTTTTGAGGACTGTCCTCAGTAGCCTACTTTTCTCACATCCTGCTTAGCAAAGTACTTCAAGTTAAAGGTAAGATCCTATAACCTAAGATTAGCATGAGTTAGGTTGTAATTTAACAGTGTCTCTTTGTAAGACACTTAATTTAGGTCATAGAACCAGAAATATTCTAATGGTTTAATTGTCTTTATAACCCCTACCCTGGAAAAAAAAAACATGCAAAGAGCTTGGTTTAGCCAACCTATATAAACTGTTCATTGAAAGTCAAATTCAGCAAGTATAGGTGGGATGCTTGTCTCAGTATGTGAAATACAGCATAGGAAGTATTTTGAAATTATTTTGGGCCTAAAGTATTTGAATGTTTTTATGCTGAAGAGCTGATAAGATTGCATGTTTAGCAGAATGTTACATCATAATATATTTTAAGTACCCTTAATCTTGATGTAATAAGATGGAATTAAGCAAGAAATCCTTTCATGGTTTATATAGTATGTATTCAAATCTTGAGTATTAGATGATAATGTATCAAGTCCTAATATTTTTGTCAGAATTTTTGAAATCAAGTCTGTTTTGTTTTATCTAAATTGGTGCAAATTGAATGCTATGTCAACGTTAAATATGAACATAATTTCATATCTTCTAGGAAAGTGCTTTAAGTCCTTTTTATAAGCTTGGGAATGTATCCACGGAAAGGATTTTTCATAAACGGAATTTCCAGAAGTGAATCATACTACTTTTAGAAAATAAGAATGCATGATTGTGCTGTGTAGATAGTTTGTTCAAAGTTTAGATTGTATGTTTGTTGATTATATTATTTATTGTTTGTATTTTTATATAAAATGTTTAATGTATACTTTTTTAAAATTTGAAGTTCCAGTAAAGTGTTAAAATATAAGTGAGGTAAAAGGCCTTAAATTTAGTAAAACTTGTTTTAATGCTTGAAATATTGTTGTATAATTTTGAACAATACATTGCATAGATAAGTGTTAACTGTTGAATTCTTAATGCGCACCCTATGTGAAGCAGCAAGTTTTTAAAAATATAAATGCATACTGTGCCCCATGGGGTGTGTTAAGAATTGTGTTGTATTTTTAATAGTGGAACTTCATATTATTGCAATGAATATTTAAAGAGTACTTGTTGAAAGCATACCATTCACCTAAAGTTAAATTTCTGGTTTATTTAAAGCTATAAGAGAATCATTTCTGGGCTTGTGATGTTAATATTGCCCCCCTACTGGGGTTATTTGTCCTTGGGTTGAAGGGTTGGAAATCGTGCCAAATGGGATAACATTGCCGGTGGACTTCCAGGGGAGGAGTACGGGGGAGGCCTTCGTGCAGTTTGCTTCACAGGAAATAGCTGAAAAGGCTCTAAAGAAACACAAGGAAAGAATAGGGCACAGGTGGGGATGGATGGCTGGTGGATTTGTCACTTTTCTTATGGTAAACAGTTAAATCCATATTCTCTCTGCTTAAGAGGAGGAAATCTGTCCATTTCCTAGTCCCCCGTTCATTGATGTTTTGCCACAATTTCAAACTTCTGTCAGTGGTCCTGTATTGCATTCAGACTAAATTTGAGATTTAAAATTGTCACAAATTTGACTGACTTTAGGATTTTGTAAGCTTAACCTATTAACCTTAGTCAATGGAGTTGAGAGACTATGGCTTTAAAAAATTAATGTAAATTTGGCTTTAGCTGTTAATAACACCCATCTAGTAAATATTAATAACACCCATCTAGTAAATATTACCATAAGAAAATGTGATACTTTCTGATCTTGTTTTTAAAGTTGAAATGCAACAAACTTTCTTGCTGTATAAATATTCTGCATATGTATTAATAAGCATAGCTTTCAAGAAATTGTCACAAAAGGTTTTATTCTCTTTGCTTGTGACTATTTTTCATTGAAGCATGCGCTTACCTATGCTGATTCCTACTAAAAGCATAGGCTGGGGTACTTCTTGGCGACAGGAAGTGTGTAGTGTGGGCTGGACCGTTGGCGAAGGCTGGCTTTTTAGCCCACTTGCTACACATGCTGCCAGTGGATCTGAGTTAAAATGTTGAAAGTTGAGTGGAATTCTTTCCCTCCTGAACTCTTGACTTGTAATGCTCCTCGCTACCCCTAAGGTTGGGCTCTGCCTCAGAGGAGTGACTTTATTTTTCTATAAAGTTTACATTGTTTTACTATTGAGTGAATTTCTGGTCATTGCCTATGCAAATATAAGGAATCTGGCTTTAAATATTAGTCAGTTTCATGGCTATGACTAGATTGTTTTCTTGTATAACCGAGAGCCTGTATGAAATGAACTAATGTTTTCTCTCCCTACCCCACTCCTTTCCTCTTGGACAATGCTTTAGGTATATTGAGATCTTTAAGAGCAGTCGGGCTGAAGTTAGAACTCACTACGATCCACCACGAAAACTCATGGCCATGCAGCGACCAGGTCCCTACGACAGGCCTGGGGCTGGTAGAGGGTATAACAGCATTGGTAGAGGAGCTGGCTTTGAGAGGATGAGACGTGGTGCTTATGGCGGAGGTGAGCGGTCTCTGCAAGGGTGGACCAGTTCTTTCTCTTTGTCTACGAATTCTCACTTTGGTAACGACACCTTTTGTTTTTCAGGCTATGGAGGCTATGATGATTACAATGGCTATAATGATGGCTATGGATTTGGGTCAGATAGATTTGGAAGAGGTAAGGTAAGAATTAAATTTCCCACTTGAAGGATACCTACACTTCTGTTCATCTAGACCTCAATTACTGTTTTTCAGGAATGTCCGATCATAGATACGGGGATGGTGGTTCTACTTTCCAGAGCACAACTGGACATTGTGTACACATGAGGGGATTACCCTATCGAGCTACTGAGAATGACATTTATAACGTAAGTGCAAGATGGATTTACAAGTCAGACATTTCAGGGTGGGACTTAAATTTAACCGTCCTCCCTCTTACGTGAACGCCATGTAATGAAATTTTTCATAACGTTAGAAAGTTGAGCTGGGGTGTAGCTTACTGGTAGAGTAGCTTGCTTGGCAAGCCTGAGTCCAGGGCCCAGTCGTCAGCACTGCAAAAGAAATTTTTTGGTGTATCTTGTGTTTCAGTTTTTTTCACCGCTTAACCCGGTCAGAGTACACATTGAGATTGGTCCTGATGGGAGAGTGACTGGTGAAGCAGATGTCGAATTTGCAACTCACGAAGATGCTGTTGCAGCTATGTCAAAAGATAAAGCAAACATGCGTAAGTATGATTAGACTGCGTGAGGCGCTCCTTAGGTGGCTGTGTAACAGACATTCAAAAAGATGTATAACACATTTGATTTTGGGCTGAAGATTTAGTTCAGTGGTGTTGCCACTTGCCTTGCAAGAGCAAGGTTCTGAGTTTGATCCCCAGTACCCCCCCAAAAAAAAGAAATTTGATTTCCACTTGTTGTGGCAGGTATGTTAAAGTTTGTAGGTGTGTGTGTGTGTATATGTGCGCGCACGCGTGTGTGTGTGTGTGTATATATTTATGTATATGTATATGTATTTTTTTGAGACGGTCTCACTGTGTAGTTGAGACTGCCCTGGAACTCATATGTAGCCCAGGCTGGTCTTGAACTCACAGCAGTCCTCCTGCCTCAGTCTCTCGAGTGCTGGGATCACAGGCACGCGTCACCATGCCCCCCCGCCCCCCTTTTGCACCAGGGATCAAACTTGTCCTCAAACTTGTCCTGCTGCTTGCTTGTATGGCAGGTGTGGTGCCACTGAGCTAAATCCCCAGCCCTAAAGTTTGTAGGTTTTTAAAATTACTATGCAGAGCTGGGTTTGGGGTACACTGCCTGTAATAACTAGCATACTTGGAAGGTTTTGAGACAGTAGGATTGCCGGAAGTTCGAGGCTAGCTGGCCTACATAGTTCAAAGCCAGTCTGAACTGTAGAGTGAGATTGTCTCCCAAAAAAAGTATGCAGAAGGTGATTTGTAATAGGATCATGTTGTGAGATTGGTCTCATTGACAATTGAGATGAACCTTTAAACACTAGGTGTTTTATTTTGGTTTTTTGTGGGGGCGGGTAATGGGGATTGAACTCGGGATCCTGTGTTTGCAAGGTAGGTACAGTGCCATTGACCCCCCTACCCCATAAAAAGACTATTTTTTATAAATAGCAGCTAGAAATATCTTTTAATTGAAAAGTATTTGAAGTTCTCAGATCTGCTTGTGTAAAAACTTTTGAAGTGCTTGTATTTTCATCAGCATGTTTTCAAACTTTCTTTTTTCTCATTTCAGAACACAGATATGTAGAACTCTTCTTGAATTCCACAGCAGGAGCAAGCGGTGGTGCTTACGGTAGCCAAATGCTAGGAGGCATGGGTTTGTGTAAATATCACTTTAGTGTCTTTTTTTTAACCTAACCTTGTATACCTTTTCTCTCATTTCAGAACACAGATATGTAGAACTCTTCTTGAATTCTACAGCAGGAGCAAGCGGTGGTGCTTATGGTAGCCAAATGATGGGAGGCATGGGCTTGTGTAAATATCGTTAGTTTTTTTAAAAACCAAAACATTTTATTTGTATAAGTTGATTACAAGTCAATCATATTTAATGAGTTTAGCATAACAATTTAAGTTAGCTTACCAATTTAAGTTAGACAAAGAGAATAGTTTTCTAGTTTATATGAATTTTATAATTAGTACTGTCTTAAGTCTAGTTACATGAAACTTTAGGAAAAGTCAGATTATGTTGGGGGAGGGGACTAGAGTAGAACTAAACAGTATGGTTTAAAATAAATAGCAAAAACAGGCTTAAACCTTTCGTTTCGGGGGCATAACTAGCCGGGCATAATTAGGTGTGCACTGATACCTATGTATTGACATAGCTTACCTTATTGGACCAAGAGGGCTGCCCCACTAAATCCGGTCAAGCAGTTTAAGATCTTCACAAGGCCTCTCCTGTGGAATCGTGGATTTAGTCCTGCTGATGTGCATTCCGTTGACCAGTTGGTTCCTAATGTCTGACTAGGTGAAATGATGAGTAGAAGGGCTAATCTGGTGATGAACAATAGGCAGAAGGAGGCAGAGGGGTAAGATGGAGACTGGAAATCAGACATAGTTACAAGCCCGGTACCACCAGGTGCCACCTTACATGGGGAGTGAGGATCTAATGTTTTCTTAACTTAACAGCAAACCAGTCCAGTTACGGTGGCCCAGCTAGCCAGCAGCTGAGTGGTGGCTATGGAGGTGGCTATGGCGGCCAGAGCAGCATGAGCGGATATGGTAAGCATGCATTTTCACACTCCTAGAGTAAGTTTTAGGTGGGTTTCTTTAGTTGGTAATATGCAGGCTTCTTTTTAAAGATTGGGTTATTAAAATGCATACTTTTAATCCTAATTGTTAACTCAGAAATGACCATGGGGGGGGGTGTTGTAGGAATTAAAAGTAGTCATTGCAACTTTGGCATATTATCAAGCCAGAAAACCATCTTTCATTTGTTAAAACAGTAAATGAAGTAGTTCATTTTTTTTGGTCTTGGTTAGTATTAAATCACTTTTTGAAGATTTTTAAATACAGAATGGTGGTTGGGTTCAGGACCATATTTTAGCACTAGTCAGTTAACCTAGGGATGGTTTTATTTTTTTCAATTGGTCTAAGGAATGGTGATTTTGGTATGATAGTCTTACCCTACAAAATCCTTTTGCAGACCAAGTTTTACAGGAAAACTCCAGTGATTTTCAATCAAACATTGCATAGGTAAATATTTTCTCAAAAAATATAAATTCCCATATGTTGTAAACACTATCTTGATAGCAGTCAGTGGCTCTGACTTAACTCCTTGGAGGCTACCTGTGGGCGCAGTGAGTGGCTTTATCCAACTTGGTCCTCTCACTTCCTGCCCACCGTGAATAGGAAAAGTAAGACTTCCCCTGTGCTCTCTATTCATATGTGCCATTCCATGGGCATTGTGTTACTGTAAATTTTTTTAAATGCCTTGTTTAGCTTTAAAAACGGAGTAATTTTGCAATTTTTGAAAAACACTAGTTTTCCTTTAAACTTAATTTTCCACATTGATCCTGAAGTGGTAGCCCAAGAGTGGCAAGTTGGTACTGCAGAGAAAGGGGTTAATCGGGACTTGTTTGGAGTGTTTGGAGTCGGAATCCCCTTTGCCCAAACGTGCTTCTCGCCACTTGGACAGCAGCCATTTGTACTCGTATACCTTTTAAACTTTTTCTTGAATGTTGTATTTTACTTGACTGATTGTCCGACACTACTCCTAACTTGTCATATCAATCTCTTTGCAGGCAGCCAAGCAGCAGTGAACAGCAGCTACTGCAGTAGTGGAAGCCAAGCATCTGTGGGCGTGAACGGAATGGGAGGGGTGTCTAGCATGTCCAGTATGAGTGCTGGATGGGGAATGTAATTGATCCCGATCACTGACTCTTGGTCAGCTTTTTTTAAAGGAAAAAACATCTTCAGTTTAACAGTTTTTCACAGTCTGAGCTTGTGATTTATAATTACTGCTATCAGTGGAATGAGGATTGTTTTAAAGACTCAAGGTTCAGTATTTTTGAACACAAGTTATCCAGGATGTAACATCGAAGTTAAGTAAACTTTAACTGTTAAACAATTTTCAGCTTTTCTCAAGTTAGTTATATTGTAGGATGTACTTAAGTAGTGAGTGTATTTAGGTTAAAGCAGTTGAATTACGTTAAATGTTGCTCTTATACTACATTACATGGAACCCTGTTTGGATGCATGTTGAAAAGACATGCTGTTTTGTAAAATTCAATATAGGAGCTGTGTCTGCAATTAAAAGTGAGACATTTGGCATGTTTGTTAATTCTAGTTTCATTTAATAACCTGTAAGGCACGTAAAGTTTAAGCTTTTTTTTTTTTAAGTTAATGGGCAAATCTGAGACGCAATACCAGTACCGTAGGATTTGGTCTTGGTGTTTGTATGAAATTCTGAGGCCTTGATTTAAATCTCATTGTAATGTGATTTCCTTTCAGGTGTATTGCGCTAAGTGAAATTGTCAAATAAATCTTTTACAAACTGCACTTGTCTGTGCTTCAGTGTGTGGCTGCTGTGGTACTGACACTGCCTGGGCATAGGGCTGCATCTCGTTGCCAGAGGCTTGGTGTTGTGCCTGCTGTTAGATGTCTTCATCTTCTCAGCTGCAGGTAAACTTGGCAGTGGGCCCTTAGTAGCAGGAAGGGGTGCAGAGAACCTGGTGCTCCTGCCCCTGACTGGCTAGTGAGGGTGCCTGAAGGTCGCCTTTGTCTGATGTTACTTAAAGCAGTTCTTGAGGTAGGCCCAAGTACGGAGGATCTGTGAGGGCGCTGCAGTTGGGAAGAGGCAGGCACTCCGCCCTCTTAGACAAGCAATGCTGAGATTAGATGTGGTTGGTGCTGAAAGCCAAGTGTGCAGGGAACACAGTTCTAGCTCACAACCTGAGCCTGGACACAGCTGAGTGAAAAATAAAGTACTTTTATTTCAGGGCCTGGAGCAAGGCCTCAGGAACATAGGTCAAATCTTGCCTCTGAGACAAGGCATTGATAGACTAGTTGTGTTATAAAACACTCCAAGCTATGATGGTGGGGAAGAGAAAGCCTGATTATGCACTAGGGACACCTGCTGCAGAATAGGATTAAATCTCAGTAATGTGATTTCCTTTCAGGTGTATTGCGCTAAGTGAAATTGTCAAATAAATCTTTTACAAACTGCACTTGTCTGTGCTTCAGTGTGTGGCTGCTGTGGTACTGACACTGCCTGGGCATAGGGCTGCATCTCGTTGCCAGAGGCTTGGTGTTGTGCCTGCTGTTAGATGTCTTCATCTTCTCAGCTGCAGGTAAACTTGGCAGTGGGCCCTTAGTAGCAGGAAGGGGTGCAGAGAACCTGGTGCTCCTGCCCCTGACTGGCTAGTGAGGGTGCCTGAAGGTCGCCTTTGTCTGATGTTACTTAAAGCAGTTCTTGAGGTAGGCCCAAGTACGGAGGATCTGTGAGGGCGCTGCAGTTGGGAAGAGGCAGGCACTCCGCCCTCTTAGACAAGCAATGCTGAGATTAGATGTGGTTGGTGCTGAAAGCCAAGTGTGCAGGGAACACAGTTCTAGCTCACAACCTGAGCCTGGACACAGCTGAGTGAAAAATAAAGTACTTTTATTTCAGGGCCTGGAGCAAGGCCTCAGGAACATAGGTCAAATCTTGCCTCTGAGACAAGGCATTGATAGACTAGTTGTGTTATAAAACACTCCAAGCTATGATGGTGGGGAAGAGAAAGCCTGATTATGCACTAGGGACACCTGCTGCAGAATAGGATGACCCTCTGAGAAGTGACAGCAACATGTTCATGCAGCCTGGGAGTCAGCTCCACAGAAGCCCCAAGGAGTACTGTCTCTCAGGCCCCAGGCTGGGCGAGCATCTGGCTCCCCTTGGTTTTCCTGGAGATCCTGCAGACCAGTTTGGCACAGGGCAGCTTCAGGACGTGGTGGAGGAGCAGCGCTGCAGCAGCAGAGTGTGGCAGCTGTCACACACTCGCACGGGCTTCGGGTAGGAGGGCAGGGCCAGCTCGCTGCCAGAGCAGGTGTTGCAGAAGATGTGGCCACAGTTTCGGCAGTGGTGCTAGCAAAGCAAGTGATGACCTTGAAGACATGGCTGGTCACACACGCCTCGATGCCCACATCCTGCTCCTGCAGGGGCCTTATCTAGTGGGCCCTATGATGGTGGAGCCTGTCCCTTCCCTGCTGTGTTCCAGTAGTGACCCAGAATGCTGCTGGGGTGGGGGGCAGGACCCCAGGAACCTACCCCTGGGGTACCTCTGGGTGTGGCTCAAGACACTGATCTGAGAGTCCTTTCTGCCTACCCTCCAAGGCACGGACTAAAACTTGGACCCTGGCTCCCTTTCCCACAGCTGACCCCCATGTCACATGCAGGAGGGTGACAAGGTGGCACCCTTCAGGTCCCCGCTGCTCCTGGGCTGTTTGTCAAAGCCCTTCTACCTGACCCTTTGTTCCGAGAACCAGCACATGCAGGCTTGCCCTGCCTGTCACCAGTGATTGTGGTGGCCCATGGATTCTATTTTTGTAGAACTTGCCCAGATTTTCTTTTGCTGCACACATAATTTTCAAGGGTATACTTGCTATGCAGCTCTACGTGCAAAAGACCTGAAAGGCCTGGTGGGGATGCAGGATCTGGGACTGATCAGCACCTCAGCATGGTGGCTAGGCCAGAGAGACAGCCAGCTCTGTGGAGAGTGCCGTTGCCTGGCCCGACAAGGACTTCTCTGAGTCCCAATTAGGGTTATCACTGTCAGGGTGCTATGCCCTGCGTACCTTTCTCCGGGAAATGGAAAACTCCTTTTCACACTGCTTGCAGTGTGTCGCTTCGTCATCTTTCAGCCATGTGTGCCCCTGAGGAGAAGAGCAACACTTGCCATTTCATGCCGGCCCCAACAGCACTCACTGGTTCTTCTGAGGGCACCCACTGTCCTTTCTTGTCGACACCTGGCTGCTCTCCACTGGACGGGCCTCCCAGGATTGGGAGGAAAGGTCTTCCTCTTACCCCATCCACAGCCAGGCTTCCTGTGTCCCAACAGCACTTGCCTGAGGGTGGCCGCTTGCTGGGCCGCAGGGTGGGCTAGCCTTGGACTCCCCTCGGCCCTTCACTAAACCCCCTTTGGCTGAGCCCTGCAGGCTCAGGTTCTGGTGCCCACAACAGCAGATGTGGCCTGAGGTGGCACCCCAAGAGTAGCGGGGCTGGCGGGAGGAAGGAGGACCCACGCAGCCCTGGGAGCAGCTTAACTCCCTTCCTAGGTAACAGGCTGTACAAACCGGGACAGGCCAAGGCCAGATGTGCTTCCCCAGCTCCTGTGACTCCCTAGGTGTGTGTGGTTGTTGGCCCTGGGGCTCCTGCCACACGCCCACCTGCTCAGATTGGGCACACGCTCCAGAAACCCGGCCCCGCTCTGCACTTGGCTCACTCAAGAAGCCCCTGCTGGAGGGAAGGGTCTCCCTTTGACTGAAAGTCCCCAGGTGTCTGCTGCCTTTGCCTTGTCTTCCAGGAACCTGTCATGGGGGCTCTGGCTCACAGGGCCACCGTCAGCGCCGATACTCAGCCAAGGTCTCACTGTGCACACAGGAGGCTGGTGAGGTGAGGGATCCCGAATCCCAGCACTCTGCAGGCTGAGGCAGAATGGTAAGTTTGAGCCCAGCCCGGGCAACTCTGACTTAGGGAGATGGTCTCAAGATATGAAACGTGCAGAGGCCCTGGGTTCATCCGCAACGGGAGTGGGGGAAGCATGTATTCTAAGAACAACAATCTGATACCTTCAGGGCCTTGTTTACTTCCTTTATGTCTTCCATCTTCAGCTTGGACCTAGAAAAAAAAGAAAGCCTTTCACGGCACTGAGGCGTTAACACTGCCACATGGCTGGCTCCACGGTGACTCCGTGGCCCTGTGAGGGCCAGAGCTAGGAGGAGGACTGTCAGCTGCATCATCCACTGCTGCCTCATCTCACTGCCTCAGGTCTGCCCAGCCGAGGCCGAACCACCCAGGAACACTGTTTGGCCTCACAGGAAGGGCTGACGAGCGGGAAGGGCAGGAGCCCCGCTTCTCCAGGCCTCCCCTGCTGGGCTGTCAAGGGCCCTGGCTCCAGTTATCCTCCAAGGAGAGCGACCACAGGAGAGGGACTTGGGTCACTGGCGGAACTAAATCAGATGCAATTTGAGTGGAACAGCTGGAGCCTTTCTTAACCAGAGAGTAGTCAAACTAAAGTTAGATTAATCTGAGTGTACACACGGCAGGCTCAGGACAAGGCCAGACTGCTGAGGGGGGATTAGAGGATGGCCTTGGGGGTCTCCTGATGCCCAGGCGGGCGCTCCTCCCTCCCCAACCCGCTGAGGACACAGGCCTCTCTCTCACCCTGGGTGGCTGAGCCACAGACACCAGAAACTTCTGCCAGTTGCCTGGGCCTGAGGAGGGCAGGGTAGAGGAATCCACACACCAAGTGTGAGGCGCCAAAGTCCACTCTGACACTAACTAGGTCAGCGGCGGTAAAGACAAGGCTTGTCGGCCTTTTTCAGGCCTGTGGCTGCCCGGAACCACAGGCGGGGAGCCATGTGACCCAGCCACAGAGCAGCAGCCCTCTTCAACCACTTCAGGCTCTCAGTCTGGCCTGTGGGCCTCCCTCTGCCCCACAAAGGCGAGTGCTGCACTGCAGCAGGGCAGGCCGGGCGCATGGGCACAGTGGCCTTGCCGTTTCCTCAGTTGGTGTTTGGCAGTGTCCTGGTCACTAGAGAAGTGCATTCTCCAGAAAGGGCCACCTAGTACTGGGTTCACAATCAGGGCTCGATCCCCAAGGCCCCATTCTGTGGCCAGGAAGGAGGGGGAGGTGCTGCTGCTCCCCCAGGAGGAGGTCCCACCAACTTACTGGCTGAGGTGCAGACCCATCTCCTGGAGGGCTTGTTCCTGGTCGTCACAGACCTTCTGTAACTCTGTCTTCTCCTCCTGGAGCTCCAGCAGCTCCTAAAAGGGACAAAGCAGACACATGACACAGAATCACAAATTCCGCTTGCTTGTTTAAGTTTTTGATACAGGGTCTCTCGTTCAGGCTGGCCCTGAAATTGAAGCAATCCTTCTGTCTCAGCCTCCCAAGTACCGGGATTAATTACAGACAGGTGTGTGCCATACCTGCCCCCCCCCTTTTTTTGGGTACTGGGGATCAAACTTGGGAACTTGCACTTGTGAGGCAGGTGGTGGTACCACTGAGCTAAATCCCCGGCCCTCTGGCTTATTTTTATTTTTTAAAGTTTTAGTAATCAGAGCAGTAAGCAAGTCACAGTATTTTACAAAAGCAAAATGTGTTTTTGTTGTAATAATGTCATTTTCTTTCGCAGATTACTTCTCACCAGCTTATTATCAAGAACGGGCAGTGCAGGCAGCAGCTCAGCAGCTCTGGGCTGGAGACAGCCCACAGCGCAGCAAGGCTCTACTGCAGACAGACGTTTCACACAGAAAACTCCACGAAGGCCACTCAAGGTGCTTTTGCTCAACAGTGGGAAAGCTGTCTTCTGGGAAAGGGCTTCCCCAGGGTCTGAGAGTAGCCAGCCAGCCCCAAGGTCTGTGAGAGCACCTGAGGGCTGCGTGGGAGGGAGGCGCACTGCGGATGTCTGGAAGTGACGAAGTGAACTGGGTGCCTGCTAAGGGTGCACAGGTTCCCGTGGGGCTCACTGTGGCTCCTCACGGCTTCCTTCACAGGGGATGCGGGGGGTTGGGGATCTTGTCACAGACAGAGGGTGTCCCATGCCCCCTGCGCTTCCCCAGTGTGGCCTGGCCTTGAGGAACTCTCCCTTCCCAACAGGAAGAGAGCAGCTCGGCCTCACTGCACAGCACCTCCTGCAGCAGGGTCCTCCCCACCCCACCCCAGGACTCTCCCTGGAAAGCACACTGAGGGTGGTCTGGGCTTGGTCAGCCCCAAACCCAGCTGTGGAAGGTGGAGGTGATGTCACAAAGGCATTCCCTGGGAGGGCTGGCTCTACACGCATCTTTCCCTAAAGCCATGGGACCCCACAGCGGGGAGGGGGACTGCAGGCCTGGCCAGCTCTGGGGAGAAAGCATGCCTGTGACTCGCTCAGAAGCGGGTCCGCTACTGTGGCTCCTGTGCCCACAGCCGCTCTCACGGCTGCGTGTGGTCCTGGCCCCTCAGCAGCGCCTCTGCCTGGCGTCGTGGAACTAAGTCTGTCTCTGACTTTTCCTCCACCAGGATGATGTCCCATGACTGGGAATGGCACTCAGGGCTGTGAGTGCACCCGCAGGGTCTCCGGAGGTGCTGGGCTGGTGCTGAGCCAGTTTACCTTTTTTAGTCCTTCTACTTGTTGTAGCTCTGTCCGCAGCAGGGAGGAGCTGTCTTTCTCATGTTGTAATTCTCGCTGAAGAGCTTGTCTCTGCTCTTTTTCTGATTTCAACTCTTTCTCTAAATTTGAACTGTTTTTCCAAAATGAAGTGGAATTAGTCTCAAAGGGAGATTTTCACAGAAGATCCACAATCCACAATGCACCACCCAAGACACAGGGAAAGTGCTGAAATGGTCACCGCAAGTCTGAAACAGCCAGCGAAGGGATGCCTCCCGGCCCCACCTGTGAGGAGAGCCCTCAGGCTCCGAGGTGGATACCCAGGCAAGATGCGGCAGACGGAGGCAGCTGCAGGCAGTGGGCAGGGCGGCCCCTCCCTCCCTCCCCACCCGTGGGCAGTCCTCCGGGCTCCCTCAGGCCTTCACTAGGCCCCCCTACCATTGTTGGAGCAGCTGGGACAGCTGCAGCTGCAGGGCGCCGACCCTCCCGCCCAACTCCTGCTGCAGCCTGTGGCTCCGCTCCTCTGCTCCCTGCCTCGCCTTTTCCGAGTGCTGTAACCTAGAGGCGACAGGGGCCAGCCGGCCTTTGTAAGGGAAGGGTCAGCTTTTACAGTTAAGTGTCTGTGTGTGGCTCCCCCGTGTTTCTGTTTGCCTTCTTTTTGCAGCCCTGGGGACTGATCCATGGCTTCATGCATGCCAGGCAAGCGCTCTTGCACTGCGTGTATTAGCACAGGCACCTCGGATGCACCTTGATCAGGACCAGACTGCTCCTCCACCCCACACTCCCAAGTGTGCCCTGCCAGTCACCACCCTGGCCCTGGCACACACATACCTGTTCTGGGACACTCTGGGTTTCTATGTGCAAGCCCAATTAATGGAATTATCCTTTACAGAACTTGTGAGACTGGCTTATTTCTCTCAGCATAATGTCTGTGGTGTCAGCCTTGTGTCTGTGTCTATGGCTCCCTCTTTTCAGTGGCTGAGTTGGATCTGATGGCATGGATGTCCTGCGGTATACCCATCACCCAGTGAGGACACTGGCACTGATTCTAGGCTTTGGCAGTAATGAATGGAGCTGCTGGATTATCTGTGTACTGCTTTGTGTGTGTGGACATACGGCATATACCCAGGAGGGGTACGGTTGGGTCACGTGGTAAAGACAATGTCTAGAAATGTGTGAGTTCCAACTGCTCTGTTGGAGCTTGACATTTGATACTGTAATTAAAAAATCAGCAAAAGCAGTGGTGCCTGCCCGCAGCCCAGCTACACAGAGAAGTGAGGTGGGCGGACAGCTCGAGCCTAGGAGCTGGAAGCCAGGGGTGAAAGTACATTCAGCTGTCATACTGGATGTACACTTCTCCAGTGACTCCTGATGCCGAATCTCTGAATGTTCCTCTTTGCCATCTACGTGGTCTTTTTGGTTGAGTGTACAAATCTTTTGCTCATTTTAAAACTAGACTGCTTGAGTTCAGTGTTGAGAGCTCTTTCTTTTTTTTTTTGGTACTGGGGATTGAACACAAGACCTTGTGCTTATGAGGCAGACAGAGTGCTGCTGAGCTAAATACCTGGCCCAAGAGTTCTTTTTGAGACAGGGTCTTTCTTGCTATGCAGTTCAGGCTGACCTTGAACTCTCTATGTAGCTGAGGCTGGCCTCGAATTTGTAGTGATCCTACTGCTTCAGCCTCCCGAATGCTGGGATTATGGGCATGAGCCACCATGCCTGGGAGTTCCTTTTTTTTTTAGTACTGAGGTTCAAACACTTGGGTCCTTGCACTTGCCAGGCAGGTGGTGGCGGCACACCACTGAGCTAAATCCCCGGCCCCCAGCGAGTTCATTATATATCATGGATACACAGTCTCCATCAAACATAGCACCTGTCAGACATGGGATCTGCACATTTTCTCCAAATTGTAACTTTTTACTCTCTTAACTATGTCTCCCAACCGGGCGTGGTGGTGCACGCTTGTAATCCCAGCACTCGGGAGGCTGAGGCAGGAGGATCGCTGTGAGTTTGAGACCAGCCTGGACTACACAGTGAATTCCAGGTCAGTCTCAACTACATAGTGAGACACTGTCTCAAAAAACAAACAAACAAACAAAAACCAAACAAACTATGTCTCCCATAGAACACTACTGTTTGGGTACTGGAGTTTGAACAAAAGGGCACTCTATCACTGAGCTACAGCCTCATCCTTTTTTAGATCTGTCATTGTGAGACAGCAGCTTGCCTAGTTGCTTAGGTTGGCCTCAAACTTATGATCTTCCTGCCTCCGTCTCCCAAGAAAATGAGACTGTAGGGCCAGGGATTTAGCTCAGTGGTGCTGCTGTCTGCCTTGCAAGTGCAAGGTCCTGAGTTTGATTTCCTATAAAAAAAAAAAAAAAAAAAAAAAAAAAAAAAAAAAAAAAAAAAGAAAAAAAAAGAAAAGAAAGAAAACGGGACTGCACTCAGCTCATAAATTTAAAAATGTGGGGGCTTGGGCTGTGCGGCTCATTGGTTGATACAGCACCTGCCTAGCCTGCACAACATCGGTTTCATTATCAACCCACCAAAACAAAACAAAGCAAAAAAAAAGATAAAAATTTTTTGAGACAGGGTTTTGGTATGTAGCTCCTTCAGGCTGGTCTTGAACTCACTATGTAGCCCAGGTTGGCCTTGAAATCGTGGCAATCCTCCTGACTCAGCCTTCTGAGTGCTGAGATTATAGGCATGTACCACAGTGCCCAACTGTAACATTGTAAGAAAGCCTGACTGATTATGTTTTTTGTTTTTCAGTTGTTTTTGTTTTTTCTTTTTTGGTACCGGGGATCGAACTCGGGTCCTTGCATTTGCAAGGCAGGCGCCAGAACCACTGAGCTAAATCCTCGGCCCTGATTATGTTTTTCTGTTACAGATGATGCTGTTACATCTCTTTGCCTGCCCCAAGGTCTCCAAGATTTTTGCCCATGTTTCTAACAGTTGGGTTATTTTGAGTTAATTCCCAGAAGAGCTGTAAAGACTGAGGTTTGCAGTTTTCTACCAGATGTCTGGTTGCTCCAGCTTCATTCTGAAGACCGCAGTCCCTCCACTGAACTGCACTGACAACTCTCGTCAGAGTCACCTGGCAATATCTGGGTAGGTCTATCAGTATTTCTGGACTCCATTCTGATCCAGGGCTGACCTGATTATTGTTTGTTCCATCTCTTTTGGGGATAAGGGTCTCACTATGTAGTCTGGGCTTGAAGCCCTCTGGCCATAGCCTCCCCACTACTGGCATTCCTGGTGTGGCAGGTCTCATGTGGACTCGCAGTGCGGGAAGCTCTCGTGACCAGGTCCTAGCCCCTCGTGGGCAGCCTGACGTGGCGGCCCTTGGCTATGAGCAGAGCTGCCGCACCCCACCCTCTCTCTACTTGACAGGCTTCTGCCCGACAGAGGCGGCCACCCCACTGGGTCTCAGCAGGTTCCTGGCCTAGAAGTGCTCATGCTCCTAGGGATGGCCTCGTTGCCAGGGAAGCGATTACCGCTCTTCCATCTGCTTCATGCTGGACAGAACTTGATTGGTTTTTCCTTCAAAAGATGTGATGGCTTCGTTCTTCTGCTGTAAACTGCTCTCTGCATTCTACAAAAGCAACCAAAGAGGTTTATTCGCTGCCCCCAACCTGCTGTGCATCGCAAAGGGGTACAACTGCTGCCCTTGCGTCTTGCACTCAGGGTGCTTTGGTACTCGCTGCTCTCCCGAGGACTGGAAGACGAGCGGGGAGATGCACTGTGCGGGGCGCTGCAGACACAGGCGGACCCTGCCCCCGCAGCCCTCCTGCGCAGACCTCGCTGAGCCCGCGGCTCCAGGGCCACTGCTCTGCTCCCCACTGGGCACTGGCTCCGCGTGAGAAGGGACCGGGCATGCTCGGCGGTGACTTTTTCTGAATTCCCAAGAAACTCAGACATTAACAACAGAATGACTACTAAAAACCCGTCACATCTGTAAACAGCATATTACCAAAGATTAATTAGCTGAGAAAACAAAAGCTGGGCACGGTGGCACACACCTGTCATCACAGCCCTCAGGGGGCTGAGGCAGGAGGATCACATACGTTCGAGGCGAGCTTGGGCTACGTGATGAGTCTCAAAAAACAAAACCAAAGCAACGAAAAATGAAAGAAATTACAAAGTACCAAGCTAAAAAAAGACCAGCGATACTGACTACACTGAGGACGCACAACTTTACAAAGCTCGAAGGAAGAACTACAGTGTGAGGCACCACTTCCTGTACGTCCTGAGGCATCTGGATTTTAGACGTGACAGTGTGGAGGACGTGCACACACGTTTATACAGGTGAGTATCATTTCTACGGTCCTGGGGATCAAACCCTGGGCCTCACACATGTCAGGAAAGCTCTCTAACACTAAGCTACCCCCTATCCTCCTAAAGTACTTTCTGTAATTGTTAACTTTAAGCAAATTGTTCTTGTATGAAAAAGAAAAGTGAGTAAGCACCCAGCTCACAAGGCGAAGATGAGCATTACAGAGGCTGGTGGGGTATCCTGTGTTGACGCACGGTCCCCCGACACCAGTGTGTGGCCACCAGTCCAGTGTGGTGCCCACACGGACTGCGAGGGTTCAGTTCAGACAAGCAGTGAAGGGCTAGCCAGCCCTCATTTCTTTTTTTTTGAGACAGGGTTAGGGCAGGGTCCTCCTGCCTCAGCCTCCTGAGTACTGGGATTACTAGTGTATGCCACCGCGCCCCACCTGCCCTTACTTCTGACACCGGTGGGGAGTCACACTGTCACCACCCTCTACTTCTGCAGACTGAGCCACGCAGTCTGACAATGGTGCTGAAGAGGCTGAGATGGGACGCTGCTCAGCAGGGTAGGGGCACGCAGCCAGCACGGGGCCACCAGTGCTGGGACGGTGGGATGGGCCAACACTCCTCATGGCCTCAGGAAATAGCTCTGCCGACACCCTGACCCTGGACCTTTCTCTTAAACCACCCAGCTGGTGGACCTCATTACAGCCGCCCTGGCACCCTACTGCAGCCTGCCGCGACGAACAGAGCCGGCAGTAACGAGAGGCCCACCCGACAGGAGGGACCTGAGAGGGCTTCGATGTTCCCGACCCTCAATATACGACAGAGGCAGCAGCACCTGTCAGTGAGGAAGGACGGATCAGCTCTTCATGACTTGCTACATGCAGAGAAATGCAACTGGGGCCCTAAGGAAGCCCACGTGCGAAGCACACTTCAAAGGTGTTAAAAACCTGTATAGAGGTCCGCAGATTTAGTTCAGTGGTTCTGCTGCCTGCTTTGCAAGCATAAGGAACCGAGTTCAATCCCAGTACCAACAAAACAAAACAAAACAAACAAACAAAAAGAACAAAACATGTGCGCCAGGGCTGGGTGTAGCTCAATGGCACAGCACTTGCCCAGTATACTTAAGGCCCTTGGCTCAATCCCCAGCATTGCAATTTAAAAAATAAAACAGAAAAACCTACCCCTGCATGCAAAAGGTGAAACTAGCACAGAACATCTTTGACACCCAAAGAAGGGCATCTGAAACAAAACCCCAAACTGCAGACCATAATCTAAAAAGTCAACACAACTGGCTAGAACAAAGATAAGGATTTAAGGTTACCAGAGGGCAGACGAGAAGAAGATACTTGTAATATGTAAACCAGTGAGTGAATGAAACCTAGACTGTGTGTAGAACAGCTGCTAATCAATAAGGGACACAAAGGAAACCCTAGAAATACATGGGCAAAAAGAGAATCCCCCGGGTGCCCAGGGGACAGAGACCAAGGACAGCCAGCATTGCCTATACCAGTGCGCGTGGAGAATACTGCCCTGGCGGGAGGACCAGAGCTCACACAGGGCACCTGGAAACACACACAAGCAACAGGTGCTGTGGAGGGCAAACTGGAAGCCCAGGGAGATGGCAGCCTAATTCCACTCTTGTAAAATTAAGACTACAGACTCAGAATAAACGTATATTTTAGAAGGACAACTACAAACAGAAAAACAAACATGTTGGATGTGCCAACATCAGGTTACTCTAACCTGATCATTACACACGACATTTTTAGAATGAAATATCACACTATCCCTAAATATGTTCAATTACTATGTGTCAACAAAATATTTAAAAATATACTCAAAAAGAAAAAAAAAAGCCTAAGATGTTGGCTCATGGGGAAACAGGACGGGAGGAGGAAATAAATGAGAGGTATTTTTATCTCCATGTGCTTCACACTGAGGTTCTAATGGATTTAGTCCTGTATTCGGAAGCCCAAAGAAGAATAGTATGTGTGAAGTGATCCTACCAGGAGCAGAGAGTGACTGGATCGCCCTGGGTTCAATCCCCAGCATTACAAGTACAAACAAACAAGACACCCTCCGAATCCCCCAGAATGCCCACTGATTATGTAATAGCTTTTCATTTTAAAGCAGAATTAGTTTCTTAGTACTGTCTTCATCATCTTAGTACTTAGTACTGTCACATCATTTTTGGCACAGATATTACTGGAAGTAAGAGTAAAACTGTGTCCATGGGAAATGAACTATGTCTGTTTTGGCAATAAAACAGGAAACAGTATTTTAAAAAAAATGTTTTGAGGAGGACACAGGATGGTGCCCTTCTGGGTAGCTTCCAAGAAGGAAAACTTCTAATTATTATTATTATTGTTATTATTATTTTTGGTTTTTTGAGACAGGGTCTCACTATATAGTTGAGACTGACCTGGAACTCACTGTGTAGCTCAGGCTGGTCTCGAACTCACTGCGATCCTCCTGTCTCAGCCTCCCGAGTGCTGGGATTAGAGACATGTGCCACCACGCCCAGAAAAACTTCTAATTTTCCCTTGACCACTTGGGAATGACACAGGACAGGCAAGTAGCCAGCTGTGTGGCCCGAGACCTAGCCAGATGAACGTCACGGAGTGTGGAAGGACCATGCCAAACGCTGTCCTACTCCCCCATTCTCTGGTACACAGTCACTCACAGGAACAAAAGGCACAGGCAGCAGGGCCTAGTCCAGGCTCAGATTAAAGAGGCGGGCAGCAGCCGGCTTTGGGCTGTACGCCAGAGGTGTGTGACTGAGCCCGTCCTGTCCTGCATGCCCGCTTCCCTGCACTTCTCAGCTACCGCCGTGAAGACCAGGCTGACAGCAGGCTGAGATGGACACAAAGCTGAGCCCCACCTGGACTTTGTGGAACATCTGCAGATTAATGGCCTTGACCTCCTCCAGCTGCTGGCGCAGGGCCACCAGGGTGTCCTGCTTCTCGTGGGTGTCCTTCTCCAGCAGTTTCATGGCGATCTCCATTTCAGTTTTCATTCCGATTTGTAACTCCAGTTCTTTTTCCAGCTCCTTTAAAGGACATTTGCAAGGAAAATGGTGTTAAAGTAGACTTCAGATACTTATTACACTGATGTTGCATCCCGGGCCATGACTGAAGGGGCCCAGCCTCACTAGGGTGGGTCTTCTCCCTGTTCCACGCCACTCAGTTACAGCAGGCTCCACATCGAGCCAACAGAAAGCAGATCTGGCAGGTCAGGGACTCGGCTCAGCGGTTCTGCCACCTGCCTTGCAAGCGCAAGGGACCAGGTTCAATCCCCAGTACCAAAAAATAAAAAAGTCACCGTAAAGAACTTGGGCTGCTGCGACACAGACTTCATGGACACACACAGCCCAGAGGTTACACCTGAGAGAACAGTGCAACGCTGCTGAAGATACTATGAGCCATTTTCACAGCACCTCTCAAAAATGTTGATAAAGTAGCTCAGTGGTTCTGCTGCCTGCTTTGCAAGCACAAGGAAACTGAGTTCCATCCCCGGTACCAAAAAAAAAAAAAAAAAAAAAAAAAGCTGATAAAACGGGGACAAAATATAAGTGACAAAGCAGAAGTGCCCCACGCACGGACTTCGGGACACGGCAGCGTCACTCACCAGCCGCACCTTCTTCTCCTCCTTCAGCTGCTTCCAGACATCGCTGTACATCTCGTCCAGGCCTTGCCGGGTCTGCTTGTAGGTCTCCAGCTCAACTCTGGTGTCCTGCTTGGTTATCTATATGATGCAGGAACACCAGGACAGCAAACTAGGTATGCAGGACAGTATTTAAAAATACGCAACAATTTCTGAAAATATAGGGTAATTTCTGCCTTTTAAGCATGGCAGGAGTTTAAAGTTTGAGAGAGACTGTAACAAGACAACAGACAGTAAGCCAAGAGTGTTTTGGAGGAAAACTTAGATTTGTGCAGCAACTTGATTTGACAACAGGGCACTAGTTCCTGGCAGGGAAAGCTCTCACTCAGCTGCCACCAAGTGCACTTTCATCTAGCACTGAGGGTGCTGTGACCCAGACTCCACCTCACACAGGGCGTCAGCAGCAAGCTGGCAGCTCTGACACGTCTGGGTCCAGGCCGCGTGCAGAGGTGTGGGATGCGGGAGAAGGGAGGACGCAGCCCTTTCGCACGTCACAGGCTGGTCGTTCCTATCTGACATGCAGCTTTCTTCAGGGCCAGAACGGACCCTAAGCCGTTCACAGCCTCCGTGCGGCATCAGGTGTCACGGCAGCCGGGAGAGCACGCGCTCAGGCCACCTCAGACACCGCACTCTGCACACGCGGCCTGGGGGCCCTGGCACTGCCAGACACTGAGCATCGACACGGGGCGCCGTTCCTCACCTCCACACGCTTCTCACTTCTCTCCCGAATCAGCTCATTCTGTTCTCTCAGCTGCTGCTGTTCTTCTTGAAGTGCACAGATCCGGTCTGTCGCAGCTGAAAGCTGATTAAGAAAGACTTCCACATTTTGTATCATCAACATTAATCTTACCATTCAAATGAAATATGAACTAGCTGGCATCATGACGGTTTATCACGTGTCTTCACGTCTGATAATTTATTTTGTTCTTCTTTTGAAGAGGGAATACCTCGTCTAAAAACTGTACACAATAAGATCTCTCTGCCATCACCCTTCTCGCCATCTCTGTGCTGCTCAGAATCTTTCCCCTTTACACAAACAGTAACAGACTACTTCACAGGGGCAATGCTTCAGGGACACGGAAAATTTTAGGAACAGCCAGGTGTGGTGGTGCATGCATACAGTCTCAGCATTCGGGACGCTGATGCAGGAGGATAGCTAGGAGTCCAGGAGTTTGAGGCCAGCTTGGGTTCCATAGTAAGTTCAAGTCCAGTCTGAACTACACAGTAAGATCCTATCTCAAAAAACCAAACCAAAACAAAACCAAAAAAACAGAAAATGCCTGAATGTCCATTATTAGAGAAATGGTTCCACAGGTTTCAGTGGAAGCACGAAACAGAAACACATAATTATTCAAATGCTTACAAAAACTTTTGGTAACTCGACAACGTACTTATGATTTGATACCAATGGAGGAAAAAAAGCAGGTTATGTGGTGTGTTCTTTTTTTTTTTTGGTACCGGGGATCAAACTCGGGACCTAGTGCTTGCAAGGCAGGTGGTGGAACCACTGAGTTAAATCCCTGGCCTTGGTGTATTCTTATGTACAATTTTAAAAAAACTCAACTAGACCAATAATAGTTAAGGAAAGAGGGAGACTAGCTATACACATGACAGAAAAGCTGTCACTTAGCAAAAGGATTGTGGGCTTTAGTTGATTGGCCATTCTTTTTCAGGTTTTTGTTTTTTTTTTGATGAAGAAAAGTATTTTTATCAACGAGAGAGTATAAAAGACAGAATTGAACACGGATCATCAGAGACCAGGCCGAACAGAACCATCCTCTTGCATGGGGTACTGAGGTTGAGGGAAGATGCACACCTGCCTAACGAGAGAGAGAGAGAGAGAGAGAGAGAGAGAGAGAGAGAGAGAGAGGGAGAGAGAGAGGGAGGGAGGGAGGGGGGAGAGGGAGAGAGGAGAGAGAAGCCAACTCGAGCGGCCTGGGGGAAGGGAGACACAGAGCAGCCAGGCCCTCCGCCTTCCGCCCCAGAACACAGCCTACAGAGATAAGCGAAGGCGGAGAAGGCCAAGACCGCCTCTGCCTCAGTCTCAGTACCTGGCCTGTTCCTCCAGTCATCCTCCATGGAGGGAGGGGCCAGGAGGCACTCAAGGCCTCTCTTCTTGTGCCAGCAGGATGGAAAGCCATCAGAATGACCTCCACACACTGGAACTGGTTGGGGTTTCGAAGGAGCTGCTTCAGAGGTGGTGTTAGTTGTCAAAAGGGAAGACACAGGCCAAGCCCTCAGGGACTGTCTGCTGCCCTCGAAGACTCAGGCAGGAGCCTGTGAGGGGAAGAGCACTTTCTCTGAGGTATTTCTCTTATAATCCTTAGTCTAAAGACAGCCCCACTGTTTGGCTTCCCAGTGGAACGAGATCTTCAGTCAAAGCCTTGCCATCTGGTCCAAGAGAACAAAGCAATAAATCAGCCACCTCCGGCAGCACCAACTCAAGGGCCGTCTCAGGCTGATTCATGCGACGTTAATCTGATTTCATTTCACAACACCGTAAAGCATGTCATCACCTAACGTGGAGCAGTAGGGTGAGGCTCAGAGGCCCACCTCTGAGGTGAACTGAACCCTCACCCTCTCTCTGGTCCGGCCCTCACCATCTCCACACCTCCTCACAAATCTGAGCTGCTGCCTTGTAAGTTACTCAGGAGAGAAGTCAGGCTGAGGTGTGCCTTAAAGTGGGCCCTTTTGTCACACAAGTGTGCTTTCGACTTTTCTCTCAGGCTGTCTTCTATCTCTATGCTATAGGGTGATCTCAAAAGCCCCTGTCCTTCCTAACAAAACTAGATGAGGGAAAACAAAGAAACTAGATGAGGAGCCTATAGAAAGCCTCCGGCATATGCTGAGCACCCTCCTCCTGCTAACAGGAGACAGGGTGTGTCCACCAAAGAGACTGCCAGGCAGCGGGCAGCCAGCGGTCCTCCCTGGCCTCAGCCCTCCATCTTGCTGTCCTCTCATTCTTTCTTCCCAGTGAGAAGGCAGAGAAAGAGCAGGCTGCAGAGAGTCTACTCCATGCTCCTGAGCCAACGGAATGCAAGGGGTGGGTCAGGTGCCACGTCACAGAGCGTGGCCTTCGGAGGTGGCAGGGAGGCACAGAGCACGTTAATAAGGAAAGTGGAAAAAGAGGAAGAAGCTGCATTTCTACAGGGGAAGCTGGGCTGCTTCAACAAGAGTGACCCTGACGTAACAGAACCTGTCCCTGACACTGGCTCCCGACCAGTTGTGCCGTCTCACGGGGAGCAACCTTCCTGGCACCACAGCTGTGGTCACATTACCAGCTGCACCATTTCTTTTTCACTGTGGGTCCCTTTGTTTTGCTTAAGAATTTCAATTTACAAACCTCCTCTTGAAGCTTTGAATTCATCTTTTCCAAGCCATCTATCTTGGTCTGAAGATCTCCAACTGTACAGCTATAGAGAATAAAAATATTAGGAAAACCTGAACTTATAAAAGCTGATTGTTTCCATAAGCAGTGAACTACTTTCTGATGAACCTGAAAAGCAAACAATATCCAATTACCTCAGAGCAGATGAGTGTGTGCATGTGTTTTGTTGTTTGCAATACATTTGATCCCTAAAATATGTTAGTCAATCCTATTTTAGCCAATTTGAAAGACATTTTCCCTTCTACGCCACAGGTGAGAAGCAGAATGTGTTCGCATTTATCTATCTAAAATTATCACAACAAGATACTGGTACCTCTGTATGGTAGAATCTAAGGGGATTTATTTTAGCTTTTCATACTTTCACTTTAGAAATATTCCTTAAAAAGCGCTTTTATATGGAAAAATGTAAAAAGCTAATGTGATAAATAAAAAAATAGGAAATAACACACTTGAAAATAGCCCTACAATAATGGCAGTCACATCCTCCACGGACCCTGTGCCAGCCGTCTGTCCTGAGCTCATGTAATGCTCCCCACAGTGTGAAGCAGCAGATCCTTAATGCCTTTCACAGATGATGAGACCACAACTTGACTTAACTCACTCAAGTTCATGCAGCCCACCAGTCTTTGGGTTTTTGAGACAGGGTCTCAGTCTGTAATTCAAGCTGGCCTTGAACTCAATCTGTGGCCCAGGGTGGCCTTGAACTTGCTGTGATCCTCCTGCCTCAGCTTCCAGAGCGCTAGGATTACAGGTGTGTGCCACCACACTCAGCCCCTCTTATACTGGGCTTAAACCTAGGGCCTGGAGCATACTAATCAAGCAGGCTACCACCAAACTGCACCCAGCCTCTTCCTTAGTTTTTAGAGTAGGCTTTGTTAGTTGTTGTTGTTGTTTGTTTGTTTTTTGAGACAGTTGTTTTTCTTGCTGTGTAATTTTAGGCTGGCCTTGAGCTCACTATATAGCCTAAACTGGCCTTGAATTTGAAGTGATCCTCCTGCCTCAGCCTCCCAAGTGCTAGGCTTACACCACACCCAGCTAATTTTTAAACTTCATTTTTAATTTTTTTTCTTCTTGGTTCTGGGGATTGAACTCGGGACCTTTTGCTTGTGAGGCAGGCGCAGTGCCACTGAGCTAAATCCCCGGTCCTTTATTTATTTTTGAGACAGGGTCTCACTATGTAGTTGAGACTGACCTGGAACTCACTAAGTAGCCCAGGCTGGTCTCAAACTCACAGCGATACTCCTGCCTCAGCCTCCTGAGTGCTTGGATTACAGGCATGCACCATAACGCCCAGTACATTATTTTAAACCTTTATTTCATGCCCCGTTTTTATTCTTTTCATACATCTATATAAGGACTGCAAGCGTCCAAACTTTGTGATTCAGGCAACACATCATACTGTCAGTCTGCCAGTAGAAGACAAACTTGGGAAAGCTAATAAATCACAGTTCAGGCACTGGATGGGAAAAATAACATGCAAAATTAAAAAGGGAGGCCAGAGATGCAGTTCAGTGGCACAGCACCTGCCTGGCAAACTTGAGGTCCTGAGTTTGAGCCCCTATACTAAATAAATAAATAAATACATGAAAACCCCAAAAGATGTGGAAGAAATGACGTATTTTAAGAGTACCCAATGCCAACTGAACATCAACTATGTAACTTAGAAAATAATAGTGCTTTAATTATTTTATATTAAAAACAGCAACAATATTTTTTTCTGCAAAAATTATAAATTACAGGAAACAAGAAGGAAACCTGGGCAAACAAGCGCTAAAGAAAAAATGAGGCAGGGCAAGGCTGCACCACCTAAAGGCTCTGAGCTTCGTTTTCAAAGAGCAACTAATGCCCAGGGTGCATGGTGCTCCCAGGGCTTCAGGGCTTCAGAGGGAGCCACGGGCAAGTTAGGCAGGGTGGAGGCTGGAGGGTAAGCGAGGCGCCGGCCCCTGTGTGCAGGGCTCACTCAGTCCAACACTTCCCGGTGATGGGAATCCCAGGTGCCTTGGTGGTTGCCGAGAGGCATCAGCCGGAACTCAGTGTCTGCTCCTTATAAAAACTCACAAGCCGGAAACTGATCCAGGGTCTCTTTCTCAAAAACAGCCACTCAGCACGGTTAGGGAGACTTGGAGAGGCATTTACCTAAGTCTATTTGGGCTTTTTGGTTGTTGCTTTTTGAGAAAGGGTCTCTCTCTGAAATTCAGGCTGATCTTGAACTCACTACATAGCCCAGGCTGGCCTCTAACTTATGGCGATCCTCCTGCCTCAGCCTCCTGAGTGCTGGGACTACAGGTGTGTGCCACCATGGCAGGCTCTCCTTACGTCTACTAGGAAGAGCAGGCCAGCTTGTCTGTTTCGCTGGCTTCTGGGGTCAAGGAGCCCTCCTCGGGGAGCCAACGTGCAACACACCTTCTAGAAGTGGGTTCAGAGAGAGAATAATATGCCTTCCAAAAACATTAGGCCAAGAGTCCACCCCACCTCCCTGCCCAAACCTTGAAGGACTAGTGTTCATGAAACACAGCAGCAGCTTCCCAGCTAAAATTAAAAGAAACTCAAGGTCAATGTGCTTGTGTCTCGGGGCGCACGGCTCTGGCGGGCAGCCGGGGCCTCCCACGCCCACCCTCCTGTCTGAAGGCTGTGGGGCTGTGTCCTCACCCCTTGCTGCTGGGCACTTGCACAGAGGCCAGGGGCTCCCCAAACCTGGCTATCGAGAAGCCCCACTGCTCCAGTCTGCACACACTAATGTTGCTGCAGAGCAATGTGGTCTTTTCCGTTTGTATGTACATGGGGATGAAGGTAAGTTTTAGAAATCACACGGTGACAGGACACTGATAGCAAGTGCTGGCCAGGAGGAGTAAGTCCCACCTTAAGTGCCGGTTAAGTTCTTCCACGTAATTTTTTTGATCGAGGACATCGGTAATTCTTTCGTGCCTTACAAAGAGCATAGAAAATAAGAACATTTTTAAGTTCATAGTTAATAGCATTAACTCCTCTCAGTCCCCCAATCACTCTGCAGAAGCAGCAGTGTCTCCGAGAAGCCAGGCCTCGGGGTGAGGGGGAAGCGAGGCACACACACGGGAGCCCCAGCCTGCAGGTGGCGTAGGTCCTCCCTATTCCACTGGACAAAAGGAGTGGATTTACTCCAGTGAGGAACAAGAGACTTCAAAACAGAAAGCTGAGCCGTCTAGCAGCCACGTTAGACTTTTAACATTCCACAGGCCCTCCCTAAAATTTCTTTTTTTTTTTTTTTTTTAAAAAA